ATTAACAGAAGAAGTGTACTACAATCAGTCCTACTAGCACTCGAGAATCACTTGCATTCTATTATCAAAATGAATGATGAAAGTTTCAAGATGACTGAGCTAATTTATCAGCTTCCTGCTGCTATTCCACCCACACCTTTCCAGACGTTTGTTGGAGTTTTTAATCTTTTAATCTCTTGTACTCATGAACTGAGTCAAAACTGAAAACAATTTTAAAAACCCCCCAACAAATTAATGCCCCATATTTAGAGAACAAGGAGATACAATTCAGAGTAGGAAAAGCTTCTGAAGTCACTCTGTCTTATGGCTAAGTCAAGACTAAAAGGAGCTTTATACTTCATTATTCTCACCCACGTTGCCCATACAGATGCAGCTAGTTCAGTTTACAAACTGGTCAGTATAAACCATTAGTGTGAATATAACATACCTGAATACAGTGAAGAACCTCACAGTTGTGAGGGCACTATTACTATATAAAGATGATTTAACAATTGCCAAGAATTGGTTTTAACACCACAAAATAAAAAACAGGGGAAATACAACTTGTATAATACTGACATTTCCTTTAGAAATGTAGTCGGGATGAAAATGAATATAAACCTTGCACATTTCTCTGCTGCATTGGACCCTGCAGTGTCATATAGATGAACAGGAAAAGTTCAGACTTATTTCCTACAGCTTCAGTATTAGATTGCAACTGCAATTTGCTGTGCTCCTCCAGTTTCCCAGGCTCGACAGTACCTTCTGATGCGACCCTGTGCATGCTTCTCTCAGCAACACGGCAAGGCACGCAGAGAGAAACACCACAAAACCAGACACAAGTTTTACAGAGCAGAAAACATTTTAAGAACGGAGAGGCGTGTTCAGACTTGATCCACAGAGAAAGCATATCCACAAATGTGCTTTTGAGAACACTTGACTTTACATAATACAGGAGACGGTTTTTCTCCCTTGTTATGTGTGCAAACTCTAACACGGAATGAATACGAGTTACTTCCACTTCATTTTTTAACAAACAGAATTTGACACTCCTTTGATAGCAGAAATGAAAAGAAGTGGAAACTCCATCCAGCAAGGTTTTCTAATTCTCTTGGATCGGATTTTTAAAAGATAATTCACATTTTTCATTTTTCTTTTTTTAAAAGGCATGAAAAGTATCACTTAACACATGTAGGTATCTAATCTTTATGTTAATAGCATTTTTAAGAAAACACCAAACATAAAGTACATGTTCACGCAATTAGGCTGCTTGTTGTAAAGTATGCATGGCTGCAGGCAATCCTTTAAGCAAACTTATAGATGGAATTGAAGATAAAGGGTAAGGAGACAAGCATCTAAACCCCTGATGTTTTCAGGCCGTCTGCTGGTGTCCTTTCATTTATTCCATGGTGGACACAAACCCTTGGACATCAAAACCCTTTTCATTCCCTTATGTGACATTATTAGAGGGACCTACAATGGCTGACAAATTTAAATGTCGTCAGAGTTCTCTTCAAACCTTGAGATCTGCTCGGCAATGCCTCGGGAGGGAGTCCGCTGCCAGAGACAGGGACATTTATTTAAAATAAACATAAGTAATTCAATTCAAATGTTTGTCTTTACAGAAAGATGTAAGTAGGAATCCAAAGAATTCGCAAGTACATCTCACCATTTCTAAGACTGTCAATTATACAATTAAATACAATATATAGCATTTCTGAACTTCACACTGAAACAATCAGGTATTTTGCAAAAAAAACCCCACCAACGGAACAAAAAAACCCAACCCCAAAACATGTCCAAAACCCCATAAACAAATCAAGACGACTGCTCACATAAGGTTTCAACCAACACAGACATTTTTTAACTTTGAAAATATGAAAGTGTCAACAGTACCCTTAGTTACACAGGTATACTTAAGACTTAATAAATAAAAAAAATTAATTTAGGTCTTCCTATACAAGCAGGACAGAAATTTGACCCAAGTCCTGCCTACATAAGATGACTTTTCAGTAAGTTCTCCATCACAAAGACTTTTGGTCCATGGTTACTAAACAATTCGAGGGATCCCCCTGATTTTTTGGGTAATGTGTCATTGTCCGTATGACATATGTCACCTTTGCCTCAACTATAAACAGAAAAAAATTATCACATTCTCTACAATGACATTTATCGTTTGTGCTTTTGATAGAGCAAAGGCTGCTGTTTTCCCTTAACCAATTGAACTGCCTCAGCATTTTCAGAAAAGCACTTTTATCAGTAACTTCAAGAATAGCAGTGGACCCACAATAAGTAAGTTTGAACCCTTCATCTGTTTCACAACAGGCTGGGTAACATGTAACAAAAGTGTGCAACATGACTTATTCCTAAAAACTAGCATGACAGCAAGAGTTGCCTTATTTCCTCATCACCTGCAGCTGACAGGTCATAGCTGATTTCAGAACATCGTATTTTCCAAAACAAGAGTGCACAGGTGAGGCTGATGCATCTCCCTGCACAAAAGCCTGCCACGTGGTGTCCTCATAAACCCGCAAGTGTTACCTCCCTGCCTAAACAAAATGAAGCTGGTACCTCGAACCATCAGTAAGTCTGTTTAAAACAGGTACGCCCCACGTAAGTTTGGCGTTGCAGAGTCAAAGAATGTTAATTAGACACGCAGATTTCCTCCCAGATGAAGTTCCATGCTGTAATATAAACCTGCCTAAGCCTACCTCCTGCCACATAATTTAACAGTGACAAAAGGGGGTCCTTAAAAGTTCATGTGTTTATTGTAAGTTACTGAAACAAAATTATGCTGGCAGAGTCATTTTCACCTTCATACACACTGAAACAGTAAATTTTCCACCAACCGCGTACCACAGCACACTACCACAATCAGCCTCTTTTTCTTCGCCAGTGTGTTTTATTTAAAATGACTTGTTTTTCAGAGAAACCAAAACAAAGAACTCTGTCTTAGAAAGAAGCACATTACAGCTAAGCAGACTTTTAATCAGTTGACGGTTACTGGCTATTCATATACCCCGTAATTTATTTGTATATCTCAGAATTTATTTGCACATCTCTAAAGATTTATTTGAAGGGTAGTCTAAAAGATTTGCCCGTGGTCACAAGGAAATCAATGGCACTCAAGGACAGACAGTAAGTCTAAAGAGCCCTTGCTCTGGTAATTAAAAATATGCAGTTTATACGTAAAATTACAAAGTTTGGAATGTTGCACTGCCAAAGCTCTTTTATAAATTTAACACTTATGAGGCAGGAAAGAAGGTTTACAAAATAAATAGTAACACTGAGGCTTTAAGATGGTTCAGATTATTCAAGAACAGTAGGAAATTACAAACCTTAGAAAAAAACCCACAAGATTTCTTCATCTAAAAGCACCACTGCTAGAAATGTGGCATTTTGAAAAAACAAAGGTTCAGCTCTAACATTGATTAGAAATGCAAAGATAAGCACTCCAAACAACAGATGGTACTCTTATTATTGTCCGGTTCTGCTACCAGCTGCACTAAAAAAAGAACATTCTCATTTTATAGTTATTATATTTCTCTTTAAAAGTATGCCTGGAAAACATAAATTTGGGGCCAAAGCAGACCTGAGGGCCTGCTTATATTGTTACTTTTTTTAAAAAAGCAAAACAAAACACCTAACTATTGCCTGTTCAATTAAATCTGTACCACAAAATCAAAACAGGTAAAGGATGTGTAGCTTTTTTATTTCTTTATATCTACATAAGGGATTTCAGACTACTTCTTTCAGGTTATCCAAATGGGAAGTTTTCCTACTGTACGTATTATATAAAGTGACAGAGGCAAACACCACTTCCCCACCAAAAACTATCTGCTTCTCACAGACATGGCAAGCCAACGCACAGCCACTTCCACGCAAACATAGCCATAGGTAAACACAATAGTTTGAATTCAACTCCAGTGAGTAGCGTACATGTAAACAGAACCTTCTGAACCAAAACTAGCTTTAAATCAAACAAACAAAAAACCCCAAAAACTCAAGCCCAAAACCCCAAACAAAACCAACCCCCCCACACCAAAACTCACAACACGTTATTACATGGTTTCATGTCATGCCCAAAGCCGTACTTCTGATAAATTTATCTTGCTGCATAAATTTAGAGGGAAAAAAAAGAAAAAGCTGAAATGCAGTATTCTGCATGTCTGATTTCTAGTGCCATGAATTAACCATAGCCTGAATTCGTTCTAAGTAATGGTAACTGTTAGTAGCCGAAATATTAAAGTTCCCTTAATATTTCGTTACACTGCCCATTTGGAAAGCATTAGGGCCGAAATGGTGTCCCGGAACTATGTTTGCGTTAACTTCATATAAAAACCCACCACTTTTACAACCATATTTCAATTTAATTATTGTACACAGGTTAACAAAAACATATCACAAGTGAAACTAAACACTGGATTTAACAAAACAATATTCAGAATGGTACAACACATGTTCATTTTCTCCAGGAAATAATATTACAAGTGTTCATCTTAGGACAATTTAGCCACACTAGAGACAGAAGTTCTCTTAAAATGCAACCGTGGTCTACTAAGCCACTTATTTTTCCACTATAGAATATCTGAAGTCAGAGTCCTACGGCCAAGGCTTAAAAATCATTTAAGATTCAAACCTGAAAAGTCTTACAGTCAAAATGACAGTATTTTAAAAAAACCACAACAAAATAACCCCAAAACAATTAATTAAAAGGCTGTTGTATATAGTTTTATCCTCTTCATAGCACTCTCTATTCATATAACTGGTTCTATCATTGGTAATAGGGTCTGTATCTGGCTTGATCAGGGTGGTGTGGTCCAGGAAGCGGGGCCTGAGCAGGAGGCCCTTGCATCCTTGGAGGTGGAGGCGGCCCCCTTGGAGCTGGCCATATCCCTGGACTCATTCCCCCGGGCTGTGTGAAAGGGGGACTAAGAGTTCCTTGATCTTCACTGAACTGTGGCAGAGAGTTAGGATTATAGTGATGGGGAGGGGGTGCATTTACATTTACAGGTGGGCCTCCGTGCTGAGGAGGGGGAGGTCCTGGAGGAGGATGATTCATATATGGTGGCATCTGGGCAATTATATGTCCAGGTGGCGGGGTTATTGGAGGAGGAGCAGAGGTCATTGGTGGTGGAGGAGCTTGGCTATATACCATGTGAGGAGTACCTGCTGCCTGGGGAGGATGCTGCAGCGGATGGCTTATTGGTGGAGGTGGTGGTGGGGGTGGTGCATAATGTTGCTGTGGAGGCATAATATGATGAGGGTGAGATACCACTGGTTGACCCTGGTATTCAGGATGATGATGAGCAGGTGCGGGGGCTGGTGGAGGTGGTTCTCGAGCACCTGAATTCGAATCATCCTGAATAGGGACAGTTATTAAGTTGCTGTGTTTTCTCGTCGAAATGCGGAAGGTGTCCTGACTGACTGGGCGAGGTGGTGGTGGAGCCATTGACATCTCTGCAGGAGGCGCACGAATGTCTTCGTGTGGCTGGTTATAATGCTCATGTGGCACGTGCTGTAAAGGAGGTGGTGGCATCATGATGTGCTGCTTCGGCGGAATGTGGCTCATATGATGTTTCTCAGGTGGCATTATGAAACGCTCGGGAATTTCGGCAGGTGGTGGGGCAATAGGAGGATGTACAGGTTCAATTGGAGGACGAGTAACAGGCTTTCCAGCTCTCATATGACGGTGGTTGATGTGAGCCTGTAAGTCCCGCTGGGACAGGTAAGTTCTCTTGCACCCTTGAACAATGCTACACATGAAGAGAGACCCTCGGACACACTGCTCGATTCGCTGCACAGGTTCATTACAGCTAAATCAGAAGAGAACACCGGTTTATTGTCATCACAGAGAGTTCAATCTGCAATTTTTTTTTTTTTTAAAGCCAACCAGTTTACCATAATTACCCAAATTAGAACTGACAATTTTTTCCCCACTGTAGCAATGAAAGAAATATTTCCTTGATTCTGAAATTTATCTAGTTCTTAAGTCTCCAAACACAACCATGAAAGAACATAAAAATTTCATGAGGTGGAAATTTATAAATAGCACTACTCTCTCTCACAAATGCCTTCTGCGCTTTAAGACCTACCAAGAGTCACTCTCACTACGTAAATTAAACTGCCATTTATTCCTTTTCAAACTAGAGCAATAACAGGTTATCTACACCAATACTTGAACAGCAAAGTAAACACTGATCTCTTACAATCCCAAAATATGCGATACAAAACTATAATCAAGTGGTGCAGTAGAATACTCTACTGCCTCTGCTAAACGTACATAAATAAGAACCGTGTTAATACAGTATCTGAAATAAGATATTTAAGTTACTCTCCTACGTTTTCTTTAATAACAAATCTTGAGATAACTTACCCTGGACACATCTTGTCTCCCTTTTTCTCATGTAGTATAGCACAATCATAGCAGAAAACATGCTTGCAAGGTATCTAGAAACAAAAAAATGGCTGTTAAGACATCGTATATAAATACCTATGTCATTTTGCAGAATACAGTTCCTCCCTCCAGCATGCAATTTCTAACAATAGAAGTAACTAAGCTACCTATGAGGTGAACAGGCTTAGTGGTAGTTCGCAGTTTACAGCATCTTTGCATAGAAACTTTCTAAAACAGTTCGTGTTGAGTTTGGGTTTTTTGGGTGTAGGTTTGTTTGGGTTTTTTAAGAATTGGCAAAAACATACAGGCAAAAGTTTAAGTCTTGCAGTAATACCAACACTGAACATTTACAGAAGCTGCATATGCAATCTAATTACACTTGTCTTGCTGGCAAGGAAGGAAAGTTTTAAAACCATTAACTGTCATTAAGTCAGATCCTGAAGCCTGTTACATCACACTTAGAAATCTAAATTAATCTCAGGGATTTTGTTACACTATTTTTAAAGGGACATAAAAGTAAACAGTGTTTTCTAACTTCATTGCAAGTCTTTAATTGAGATAAAGAGCTTATTTTTAAAGCTAAGTTGTGTTAAGGTCAAAACCTACTGAACTTGAAGGGTTCTTTTGTTGGTGACAGCATTTTGATTTGTTGTTCAACATTTTCAAGCTTACTTTATTAAATCAGGGCGGTAACATGAAATCAGCCAGACAAATGGAACAAAAACACTTCAGCAGTGAAGGCCCCTGGTTCCATCCCGACATCCTCCTGCTGTTTATTCAGAGACCTGCTGAAATCAGTAACCTCTTCAGGCTTCATAGAGACATACCAAAACCTAATTTTACCTAAAAGGAAACCATGGCTGCATCTTCCACTGATAATTTCACTCACCATGCGTCCATACATTTTGATGGGCAATCCACACTTATCACAGAAATGGACCGGTGTATCATCCTTCTCCCCCAGCAAGTTTATCTGACAGGATAGAGAAGGGGGTGGGAAAACAAAACCCAAGATCACTAAAGCTTCTCATTTCAATTATCACCAACACACCAATTATTTCTGAATTAGCTGAGAAGGAAGCAAGAACACCACAAACGTGAGAAAGCAGAGGATGTATTTTCAGTCAGTAAAAAGTAATGGAAGCACTTTTATTGAAGAAGGTATCTACCAGGACTACCTACAGTTTGGTATGATTCACAGACAAAGATTCACGACTTGCCATCCATTGCTTTACCTTATAGTCCCAAAAGATGGGTCCAGGGAACCTCCTTTGATTGCCAAACATTTCACCTCCTTTGCATTCGTACCGCTCCTCTTCGTTATAATCAAATTCTTCTGTAGAAAGAAGAAAGAGAAGAAAGACACGAGCCAACCACAACGCTTTCCTAAATGACACCGGCTGCTATTAAAGGCATGTGTCATTCTATACTGAAATCATCAAGGAATGCCACAGCACTTCTAATCTGCTGGGCCCATTCTACAGAAAGGTACAGTCAAAATAGTAAGACAGTCTGTTTTGGGAATGTGCCCCGTTTAATCCTTATAGTGCAGCAGTACCTGGAAATTTGAAACTTGTTTTGCACTTGGACAGAACCTTGGACTCTAAGTCTCCAAGACTGAATAAAGTCTTGAACAATGCTGCAGAATAATACGCTTCCCTACTACAGGGCTAGTATTTATATTAATTTACCTTCATCACCAGCTTGTGTCTTTGAGGGCATCCTGTTCATATTTCTTGGAGTTCGAGGTGCAGGTTTGGTTTTATTGGTCTGTTTTGAGATAAGCTTTATAGGGATTCTTCTACGAACATCAAGACCACCCAATGACCCTGAACTATTTGTTCCTTGCAAATCATTGTCTATGAAAGAAAAAAAAAAGTTTATGTAGTTTTTCACTTACCTAATAGTTTCTAAAGAGGCTAAATATTAACAGAAGAGTTTTAAGAAAAGTAATTTTTAAAGCTTATTTAAGACTCATACAACATATCAAAGTTTAATCACTAGAAAATAAGTATCTTCACATAGAATTTCTTCTAGAAGTCACAAAATTGTATTGGGAACAACCGTGATTTTAGGAAATCTAGTTCTAAAAATAAAGGTATTTTTAAAAGTTAGCTAGTCTGTCATTTCTTCACAACAGGAAGAAACCCATTAATTGTATAGTTCCTCTCACAGCGTGAATAGTACTGAAGAGTTAATTCTTTGTACGACCGTGACAACATAGAATTTCTTATGAGAAAAGATAATTTTTACAATTTATGTAAATTGCTTATTAAAGTTGGAAGGAAACTAGTTTCCGTATTAACTCAGCATCTTGACACATCACTTAGAAGTTTAGCATAAAGTATCACAAAAATATCAGTACTTAAGAGTATGTAGTAGTATCCTTGCGAAACTGAAAATTATTGTTCCCCACTACATACAGAATTCTCTTTAATCAGATTTAAATCTGAGTACCAGGGCAAAGGAAGCAAGAAATAGCCTGACACATGCATCAGTAGATACAGGCTCCAAATGATAATCTAGAGGGAGTATTGCAACAAGCACACCAATGAAGGGGGTACAACTCCCTCAACTTCCAGTGAGTCTATCTTAAACCACTGCATAGCATCTCATTCATACACAAATAAAATTATGTTCTTCACGAATCTACCCAGCTCACTTTCACTTTAATTGAAAATGCCATTTTGACAGGTGTTTCAAAGTGGGACATGCTCAGCCTCAGAGAGGTGTGCCACAAGCTCTTACACTGTAAGCCCTGCCGCTCCACTTGATACGGCACTGCAGCCCTGGAATGATCACCGAGGCCCCAAAGGATTACAGCCTGGTAGCATCTGGACACTGAAATTAGGGCCCCATTAGCGTAAGTCTGCACAATGCCTCACAAACTAGTGTCCCTCAAAGCCTATAACCACCTCACACAACACAACAAGTAGGAGGAAAAACAAGAAAGAAAGAAAAACAAGAAGACAAAGGGAAAAGGGGATTGCTCTAAGTTATTCAGCAGCTACCACCACAACTAGGAACTGCGACAAAGTTTCGAATTGGGACTGTGCCCTGACAGTCACTTTACCTCAAAATGAAGAGCCCTGAGTCTCCTCTGATAGATCAAGTGTATTTATTCCTCTTAGCACTTGTGGTTGACATGTTTCACTCTAAAAGGCAATATGTAAAAAGGCAAAAACAATACAGCCTGTTTTTACTTTTGCTCACTTGTCATTTTTGTTTAGGCTGTCCTGTTGGCTAAACAGATGAGCCAGCAAACATACAACTACGACACCCGGTTTCCCAGAGACTGCTGGCCTAGAACATCAGCGATAATAATGCTAAAGCTGTCTATTTTCCACTTGTTGGGAAATTCTGTTTTCTACCAGAATACACAAAAATGCAACACCATAGACCAGAAAAAGCCTCTGCAGGACCTCAACCCATTTGCAAATAGGGATAACTAAAACAAGTTTAAAAAAAACCCAAACAACCCAACTTGCGTATTAATCGGTCCGTTGAACTGCCAATAGGAAACAAGTAAGTTCTGACGCGTGTCTTCTATATACCCTTGCAAGCTAGCAATATTTACACGAGTTAGCTGCTCAGCTAACCCAAACTAGCAAGTTCATTAGTTACTCATGCTTCACGGAAGGATAATAAATTGCAGTCTGTGGAAGCATAACTAGCAGGATTAAGTGCAGAAAAAAAATATGAAAAACATACCAAAATTGTTAAGACTACTTAGGGAAGCTCTAATTGAGGTGATACATCCTCCTGAACCGCCACCTTCGTCAACTTTTCTTAAGTTTTATTTTTGTATTTCACGTTTTTTTTTAATTCATAAATACAGCTCAAACACCATACCTTATACATATAAATTCATAACGTAGTCTTCGCTAAGGGAAGAAAGAAAACTGAAGATACCCTAGCAAGAAAACCCACGTCCACTCATCTATACATTAAACTACGCCAGCACGCCAACCAGCAGAGTTTCAAAGCTACGAAACCGAGCTTAAGCACATGGGGAAGTTTCCTCTCCAGAGCACAACTACGGAACCAGGAAACACGTTACCGGCACCGACCTCGGGAAACGCAGCGGGCGAACAAGCGCCGCGCCGCCGAAACGCTACAGGCTGGATCCCCCCGCTG